ATGGGCTTCAATAAAAACTGGCAGGCTCATAGGTTACCCAGTAAATGGGTCAGAACAGCATATCCAAGTATTGAAACTCACTATTTGTTTTACCTCTCTCTCAGTGCAAGTGGTGCAAGGTGTAGTAATTTCTCTCACTTGAGACAGGATATCCCGGCTCAGACCAGGGAAATCCTAGTGTGGTGAGTCCCTGAACTTTCATGAGTTTTTTTCCATCCTCTGGATTGTGTATGTGTCTTACGCAGGTGTCCAAAGTGCTTGCTAGTTTTTGTTCACCAGGTCCAGTTAAGAAAATGGCATCCATGTGATGGACCAGTATAGTGATCTGTGGGCTGTCAAGATGATCAAGGACTCTCCAGACTATATTATGGCAATTCAGACATAGCCCTCAGGTGAGACAATGAAGATACACTGCCTTTCTGCCACTTCATGCAATTTGCATCTCATTGTCCTTACTGATGGTGATAGAAAAGAAAGCATTTGCCAGGTCAGTAGTCATACCAGATGTCTGGGGTTATGCTAATTTTCTTCAGAAAACAAAAACAGAAACACTACATTTAGAATCTCAGAATCCCATTTGAAATTGGTGTCACCATCTGATTAAATTTCTAGTAATCCATTGTTACATTCCCAGTTCTTTCCAGCTTTGATCTAGGTAAATGGCCAAGTTAAATGGGGATATAAGAAGTTTCAACAGCCCTGCATCCTTTTAGTTTTTGATAGTGGTACTGATTTCTGAGCTTTTCCCATGGATGTGGTATACTTTTTTATTACTTTCTTAGTAGGAAAAGGGGAGACAGTTCCAGAGGCTTCTTCATGGCCTTTTCTCTCATTATAGCTTTTATGACATGGGACAGGGAACCAATATGGGAATTTGGCCAGTTACTAAGTATATCTGTTTCCACTACAATTCTGTTACTAGGGAAATAAGCACAGGATGGGCCTGTCGTCCCACTGGACCCACTGGGAGACAGACTTACTCTCTGACCTTACCTCTGGAAGTCCCACTCTGACTTGTAGACCATGTTCTGGGTGTCTAGGAGATTAGTATTATTTCAGAGCTAGTATCTACTAACGCTTGGGAGGATTATATATTCCCATTTCTGTAGTGGACAGTCATCCTGGGGAATTGCTACAGGTCCTTCTCAGGAAAGGCCTGGAGAAAGATCAACAGTATATGCCTGTGGCCGTTTAAAGGGTCACAATACGCTGGGTGTGGTGGCTCACGCCTACAATCCCAGCACTTTGGGAGGCCGATATGGGCAGTTTGCTTGAGCTCTGGAGTTCGAGACCAGCCTGGCCAACATGACGAAACCCTATCTCTACCAAAAATACAAAAATTAGCCAGGCATGGTGGTGCATGCCTGTAGTCCCAGCTACTTGGGAGGCTGAGGTGAGAGGATTGCTTGAACCCTGGAGGTGGAGGTTACAGTGACCCAAGATTGCGCCCTGCACTGCAGCTTAGGCGACAGAATGAGACCCCATCTCAAAAAAAAAAAGAGAAAAAAGGTCACAATAATCTTATTAGTCTTCCTTGATCTAAGATCCTTTGAATATATTCCTGTATGTGCTCTCCACACTCCCACTGGTAAATAAATTGTTGAGATCCTAAAATATTTTGTTATAAAGGCAGTTTTCTCCCAGAATAGACTTGGAACTTCTTTCTGGGGTCTTTTGGGTTATGAGACAATGAAAGATGGTGGGAGTAGATAGTGAAGAGAATTAGCATCCCTTGTGAAACAACTTGAAAAGAGTTTTATTGAGAAGGAGGCGTTTGGATGCAGGGTATTCTCTGAGAGATACAGACAGCTGCTTTCAGCAAGGAAGTTCAGCTGAATTTGGGGTTCAGCATTCTTAGCCTCATCTATGCCTACCCAAATGCCTGCGTCTATGATTCAAGTCATTCTCCTTTCCAGCCAGTGCCGTATGTTAACACATTAGACTTTGCAGGATTATATATTGAATTGGCTCTGCAACCCTAGCCATCAAACCCTGGGCTTGATCCTTAGTCTTCTCAGCTCGGCAACTATAAGAGATGAAGTACTCTAATAAAACAGACACGGATTTTCTACCCATCTCTCTGGGAATTCACAGCTTTGACTTTGTCATTTGCTTTAGGCACATTCTCAAGGACAGCCAGAAGCAGCCCCAGCCCACATTGCAGTCTCTGAAGTCAGTGTTTTTATCTGCCACTTGGACTTTGAGCACTCTCCACCTGCACTCCATCCTGTGACACCATGCACAGGTAGTAGTTTGAGCGATCATGATGTCACTGTGTGCCATCCACTCCCCCCATGGGAAGATTTTCAGGACACTTGTCAAGTACACATTCCATTTTTGAGGCTGTGTTTCCTGCGGTCTTCTTGGTACCAGTTAACTGCATCAGTCATATGACACACTCAAATGTAGTTGAAGGGAGTTTAACAAAGGGACTGTTAACTAAGATGTTGTGGGCAGGATTAGAGGAACCATCATGGCTTGTTGAAACACCTCTTTACTAGCAAAGTCAGGAAGCTGTTATTATTCCCAGGCCCTTCAGCTATAGCTGTGGAAGAGGGGCTGCCTGCTAGGAACTGTGGGCTTAGGTGGGTAAACCACTGATGTCAGAAAGGGACCAGGGGAACAAATATCTTAGCGCCACACTTCTCTTACCCTGTAATTTGTTAGTGACTCTCATGGCTGCATCCAGCCAGAGGGCAAAGGCAAAGTAGTGTGCAGTCCATAGAGCTCAGACTTCTGGACATGTGGCTGGGTGGAGAAAGAGTGGCATTTGGGTCTGGAAGGGCAGATAGAGACTGTCAAGTGCAATTGCCAAACTGGAACCTTTGGCTCAGGTTTGAGTGTGCTTCTTGAGTGTAGACTTCTACACTTAACTGCCAGCTGTGCCTGTTCTCTTAGATGTCCCCTGGGTACCTTGCAGGAAACAAGTTGTCCTGCCTACCATCTCTTTCCTTCTCCTTTATTCCTGATGCTACTTAATGTGATACCTTACTGTCCCTTCCAAAAGGAGGACCTGAGGAATTCTGCTTCTGTGGGCTATAGCACAGCAAGGCACTCATATAAAGTAACAGCAGTACCTGCCACCCTGAGCCCCACATTCTCAAGGGAGAGGTGTGGAAAGTGTAGCTCATAACCTTCACCTTCTCAGTGTCTCTGCTGCAGGAGGAGAAGCATGGGTTAATGTGGCTTCTAAGGTTCCAGGACAGGGCCAGTCTGCCTTCGAAGTACAATAGGTTCCACCTGCTCTCATGCTTGGGCAGTGACAGGCAGGCCAGGCTCTGATCAGGTGCTTCCCTGGTCTTAGTGGGGCAAAGCAGCTACTATTATGGGGCTTTAGAATGCTATAATTTACAGACAGATGCTGTACTCTTTGTTGAGGCGGGACCAATTACTTGTCTGTATATTCTAACAACTAATTCAGCTGCGCAGAAATATTTCTGACTGCTGGGCACCGTGGTTCACGCCTGTAATCCCAGCACTTTGGGAGGCCAAGGCAGACGGATCACCTGAGGTCAGGAGTTTGAGACTAGCCTGACCAACATGGAGAAACGCCGTCTCTACTAAAAATACAAAATTAGTTGGACGAGGTGGCACGTACCCGTAATCCCAGCTACTTGGGAGGCTGAGGCAGGAGAATCGCTTGAACCCGGGAGGCGGAGGTTACAGTGAGCCAAGATCGTGCCATTGCTCTCCAGCCTGGGTGACGAGAGCAAAACTCCGTCTCAAAAAAAAAAAAAAAGAAATCTTTCTGACTGCATTTCCAGCAGCAAATCCAACAAGGGAAGCTTTGAATCATCTCAAAGGAAGCATTCTTATAATCAGTTAAAACTCATTATACCTGAATATTCAATGCCTGCTGATATATATTTTAAGTCATTACCTGAATATAATTTATTTATAGTGACCAGATCTGTTACAGCGACTTCCTGAAACTGACCATCCAGGGAAATTATCCAAGCATACTGACACTTTAAAAAGTATTATTTAGTCTGAGTGTGGTGGCTCATGCCTGTAATCCTAGCACTTTGGGAGATTAAGTTGGAAGGAATGCTTGAGCCCAGGAGTTCAAGACCAGCCTGGGCAATGTAATGAGACCCCGTATCTTAAGAAAAAAACAAAAAGAGTATTGTTTGAGCCAGGCGTGATGGTCTGTGCCTATAGTCGCAGCTACTTGGGAGGCTCAAGCAGGAACATCACTTGAGCCTAGGAGTTTGAGGCTGCAGTGCAGCATGATTGTACCTGTGAATAGCTACTGCATTCTAACCTGGGCAACATAGCAACACCCTGTCTCTAAAAGAAAGGTATTATTTGGTGTCATGTGGTGTCAGAGTATGGGCTGTTGTGTGTAGCAAAGGTGACATCAGTGTGACATCTCTAGCCCTTTATTCATGAGTGGGATGATATTAACATACTGCATTTATTTTGTAGGAAGATCTACGGTAGTGTCTCTGACCAGAGGTTCAGTACAAAAGAATAATCCACAGTTATAATGAAGCATAGTACAGTGGTTAAGAGTTGGAACTCTGGAGTCAGATAGCCTGGGTTCAAATCTGGGATATATGAATTATTTCACCTCTCTGTGTTTCAGTTGCCTTATTTGTAAAATGAGTAAATAGTTATGTACTATACAGGATTGTAATCTGAATTGTTCAGCACACTTGACCAGTTCATCCTGATTCAGGAAGTCTGAAAACCACACTTTGGTTACCTCCAACTAGATCTTTTCTAGGTGAGAGTTAGTGCTTAGTCTACATGAACTGAGGTGTGTAAGTTACTGGAATTTCCTAATAGGAAGGAAGGTAGATGGACTGCAGATATTTGTGGGTTGTAGTAGGAACACAGTAGAAACTAAATCTCTAACCTGGGCTGAGACTGATGAGCAAAAGTAAATTCCTGCCAGAATAAATGTAAAATTAGTCCCATGCTTAAGGAATAACCGTCATAGTATGTTAAAATTGTTTTTGTTAATCACTTTTTTTTTTTTTTTTCTGTTGGTTAAGGTTGCATGATGGAATTTGAACATTACTTCAAGAGGTGTTATGTTTTGGATTAGTTAATTGAGTTTGTCCTCTGCTGACTGTTTCTTCGGACGCATTTTTTGGTGTGCTCTTGAGGGATTAAATGCAAAGAGATCATACCATGGACTACAAGGAAAGCTGCCCAAGTGTAAGCATTCCCAGCTCTGATGAACACAGAGAGAAAAAGAAGAGGTTTACTGTAAGTACTTAACATTAAGCATGTGGAAAAAAATTGAATATAGAGAATATTTTCATTTCTGCTTTTCTTCTCCAACCTAGAAGACCCCGTTCCCCATCTCCCACATACCTGGGTTTTACTTCTTTCACATAATCTGTTCTCCACAAAGTCTTCTGTGGCTACCGTAATGGAATAAATTTTCCTTTTTTAGTCTCTTTACTTATCCTCTTGGAGAATTGTATGAAACTATCTAACTAATCCTCTTTTTTTTTTTTTTTTTTTGAGACAGAGTCTCATTCTGTCACCAGGCTGGAGTGCAGTGGTACAACCTCTGCTCACTGCAACCTCCACCTACTGGGTTCAAGCGATTCTTCTGCCTCAGCCTCCCGAGTAGCTGGGACTACAGGCACGTGCCACCACGCCCAGCCAATTTTTGTATTTTTAGTAGAGATGGGGTTTTACCATATTGGTCAGGATGGTCTTGATCTCTTGACCTCGTGATCCGCCCACCTTGGCGTCCCAAAGTGCTGGGATTACAGGCGTGAGCCACCACGCCTGACCGTATCTAACTAACCTTCTTGGTTTTTTTTTTTTTTTTTTTTGAGACAGAATCTGACACTGTCACCCAGGCTGGAGTGCAGTGGCGCGATCTTGGCTCACTGCAAGCTCCGCCTCCCGGTTCACGCCATTCTCCTGCGTCAGCCTCCCGAGTAGCTGGGACTACAGGCGCCCGCCACCATGCCCAGCTACTAACTAATCTTAACAGAAAATGTGCATGTGCATACACATGGATCTACACACACACTTACAATTTGCATGCACTGTCAGGAATCAATGGACTCCTGAAGACATCGATTTCATATTAAGAACTACTGTCCTGAAATGTTTATAGTATCTCTCAGTTTTAAAATATTTAATTCAGTTTTTTTTTTTTTTTTTTTTTTACCTTAAAGGCTAAGCCATTTCTAATTTTATCATTTATCACTGTAGTATCTACTACAGGTCTTTATAAAGAGTAAGCACAATGAACATTTGCTCAATCTGTGTATCAGTTTTTATTATTGGAGAACAGTGACTTTTCTAATTAGTGTGCTGAAACATACAATATTGTATGTAGTTCCAGTAGTCCTATTAGTACATACAGAGGTCTTGTGCCCTCCTCCCCCTGAAAAAAAAAAGCCATTTATCATGTATATTACTGATCTGCTCTTCCTCGTAACTCCCCACTCTCTCCTCACCTACAGAGTTGGAACTCTGGAGTCAGATGGCCTGGGTTCAAATCTGGGATGTATGAATTACTTCACCTGTCTGTGTTTCAGTTGCCTTATTTGTAAAATGAGTAAATAACTGTGTACTATACAGGACTGTAATCTGAATTGTTCAGCACACTTGACCAGTTCATCCTGATGCAGGAAGTCTGAAAACCACACTTTGGTTACTTCCAACTAGATCTTTTCTATGTTGTATGAGTAATATGAAGAAATTCGTTTAGCCCAATTCTGTTTAATACTTAGTCTGATCTAATAATTTAACCAGGTCTCAGGATAAAATGCTTAGCCTCACTTCTACTTTCTTTCTCTTACTTGAACACACATCCTCCTCAGGTTGGCATCATGGTTTATGGAAGGAGAGGTGTCCCCTTTCACAATATTGTTGAGTTGGTGAATGACCTCATGGTAGCCTGGTGAAGCCTCTTGAGTTCTTGTCGTCCCTCTAGATCTTTGTTTTTTGAGCTGTAAAGTGGCTGGTCTGGCAGATAGCCAGCTATGACTGACCTGATAACCTGGGCATTTTGTTGGCATCCATTGCTGGCACCTTCAGTTGATGAACTAGCTTGTGATCTCTTTGTTGACTTGACCAGGGTCTTGCGGCAACTCTCCACTGACTCAGTACCTTGCCCCTTGATAGCTGTAGAGCCCCCTGAGGCTCTGACATGTCCTTCACCTGCTCCTGGCTCAGTGGTCCAACCCAGCCTCTAAAAAGGGGGTTACCTGGTCACTGCCAGTTGAGTCCCATGACAGGTGACTTTCAACTCAGAGTCCCTGTCATAGGGCAGTTGAGGAAAGCTGAGGAGTTAAACTAAATCTCTCTGCCTTCTTAACTAGGTGGGGCTGGGTGCCAGAAAATGATGGTTTTCTCTCAAGGTCTCAGACAAGGAGCAGGGAAAGCAGTCCCTCTGTCCTCTCTTCCTTAACAGACACACCTGCCACACTTGGCACCACATCCCAGAGCAGATAAATTGCAATGTGTTTCTGACCATATACCCCTTCTGAGCCTCTACATTGCAGGAATATCTTAAACAGTAGGCATTTGTTGCACATTTGTATAAGCAAATTTTTAGCAGTATCACATTGAAGGTAAACAAAGGTTGATATACCTAGAATAAAACGGTAGAGTGTGTGAAAGTTTTTCTTCCTTCCTTCCCCCTCCTTATTTTTGCCTTTGGGTCATTCTTTCCTCGAGAGGATACCTCCTGCCAAGTTTGATGGAAGTTCACACATAGCAAATGTCAGCAGATTATCTCATGTGTCCTTTGATTTTCCAGGCTGGAGGTATTTCCATGTCTTCTGTAGGATGGTTGAGGAGACCTGTAACATTTCTCTTACCCAGCTGTTTTTACGCTGTGCACTGAGTTCTCAAAGGCCCTAACTAAATCACCTTATTCATTTACTTCCTTCAGATTCTCAAATATTGCCTTATTAGAGAGGCATATTCTGACCATCCTATAAAAAACAGCACCTTCACACCCCACGCTACCCCTCTCACTCTGTCTTGCTTTCCCTCCTGCCACATTTCATGTTTGTTTATACGTGCTGCCTTTGAGTAGAATGCAAGATTCTTTGAAGCAAGGACTTCTTCATTATCGTTTCACCAGCCCCTAGAACAAAGATAGTAGGAATTCAAATAAGTATTTGTTGAATTGTTCATCTGTTATTTGCTGATTACTACCGTGTAGTCCTCAATCCTCAAGAAACTTGGTTCTCTCAGTGCAGATAGACCCCATCCCACCCAACACAGATGCTCTGTTCAGCCTAGGTACCCATGTTATCGATAATATTTTTATGTTTTTAATTAATTAATTATTATTTTGGTTTTTTTTGAGACGGAATCTCGCTCTGTTGCCAGGCTGGAGTGCAGTGGCGCAATCTAGGCTCACTGCAACCTCCACTTCCTGGGTTCAAGCGATTCTCCTGCCTCAGCCTCCTGAGTAGCTGGGACTACAGGTGCATGCCACCATGCCCAGCTAATTTTTTTTGTGTGTGTATATATATATATATTCCTTTTTTTTTTTTTAGTAGGGACGGGGTTTCACCATGTTGGCAAGGTCTCTATCTCTTGCGTGATCCACCTGCCTTGGCCTCCAAAAGTGCTGGAATTACAGGCGTGAGCCACCGCGCCCAGCCTGAATTTAAATTTAATAGAGACAGGTCTTGCTATGTTGAATAGGTTGGTCTTGAACTCCTGGGCTCAAGTGGTTCTCCTGCCTCAGCCTTCCGATGTTTTGGGATTACAGAAATGAGCCACCACGCCCAGCCTTGATAATATTTTTATACTCTAGTTTGCATAGGTAGTTTATATAGTTCTATGCCGTGAAGCTTCTAACAGGGAAATGTGTTGCATTGTAGGTGTCTTGACTTAAGCCAAGTCTAAATTATATTTTCATTTATCCACTTGAGAAATTGTGAGTTTCTATGTCATATTCTAGGCACTGGGGATACAGTGGAACAAGAGTGACATTAGCCCTAGCTCTCAAGGAACTTTCATTAACTAGGGCAAGACAGACAATAAGGAAATATGCAAATAAGATAATTTCATATTGTATTAAGTATTGTACTGTTTCCTGTGAAATTCTGTTAGATTTCACAGGGAATCTAATCTTGTTTTGCTTTTTACCAATGGAAGTATTTTTAAGGATTTGATTTGTTTTTGTTTTTGTCTACTATTTTATTAGTACATATTTAATAAGCACTTGTTTATAAATCATACTGTTAATTCATAATTTCACAAGGCTTTATCTTGCCTTCTGTAAATATATTTGCCGCAGAGCTGCTCCAGCTTGGAACCTAGACTTGCTCCTGGTCTTGGCTGTATTTGGGTAGCCAGGGGAGGCCACCTGAACTTTCTAAGGTCCATTCTTCTCACCAAGTCAGCACAAATAATTCAAGAAACTCACAATCATATAAACTTAAGTGTTTTATTCTCTTACAGCAGTTCTGCTTCTAGGCTTGTCTGATCCTGAGTGCCATGTGAGATGAATCTCTTGTCTAGTCTTACTCAACATCACTCGAACCTTGGCTAAGTTTTTTGCCCTCTACTTCTGCATACTGTCCATGGGGGGGGGTATCAAATTAATTCTAACATCTTACACGTAATAGCTTCCTCTAAGACAACCAGATTCCTTTTCGGTTAAGACCAAGAGAGCCAGATTACCATCCTGCAGCTCATGTAGGGTGTCTCATGTATAGTGGGGGATTATAATATTTGTTCTGCTTACTTCATAGGGTTGTTGGATTATGATTATATGAGGTTATGTATACTTGAAAATACTGAATATGGAAGATAATACTAGGAAATCTGAGAATAAATTCTTATTAATAGTTTGAAAACTACTATGTGAAAGGTGACCTAAAACTACTATGTGAAAGATGAAGAGAACTAATAATTGAAGGTTTTTTATGAAGCAAGTATCACTTTTGAAAATACTTTGTAAGTTCAAGGTAGTAATTACTGCTAGGGAAGAAGAGAGGAAAGTGGCAACAATTGAATCTGTAGTATTTTATTCTTTGGCAAAAAAATCTGAAGCAAGAATGGCAAAATGTTAGAAATTCAGTAGATCCAAATAATGAGCACATGGGTGTTGACTATGTTATTCCCTGAAAATCACAGAAATATTTTGTAACATTTGAAAAATAAAATACCACCTGTTTTTTTCATGACCTCATATTCTTCCCATCACAAGAAATCACTTTTTTTTCCCTCAAGTCATGATCTCGCTTTTGACACTCAGGCTGGAGTGCAGTGGTGTGATCTCAGCTCACTACAGCCTCGACTTACCTGGGCTTAAGCAGTCCTCTTACCTCAGCCTCCCGCGTAGCTGGGACTACAGGTGTGTACACCATGCCTGGCTAATTTTTAAGTTTTTTGTAAAGATGGGGTCTCCCTATGTTGCCCAGGCTGGTCTCCAGCTCCTACGCTCAAGTGATCCTCCCACCTCAGCCTCACAAAGTGCTGAGATTACAGGCATAACCCACTGAGCCCAGCCGAGAATACCATTTGACAAGATTCAATAAGTGCTTTAATTGGTATGTTTATGTATCTTGGAGAATCTCATAAAAATGTTAATGTTAGTATCAGTTTCAGAATATGAAAATATCAGCCTTATTGAAAGAGCCAGACTGTTTCAAAATATATATATATATGAAAACAGGTTTAATGTATTTAAGTAGCTAATGGGTTTTTTGCAATTAAATTTTGTTACATTGTTACTTTTTATTTCCACAGGTTTATAAAGTTCTGGTTTCCGTGGGAAGGAGTGAATGGTTTGTCTTCAGGAGATATGCAGAGTTTGATAAACTTTACAACACTGTAAGTAATAGTCTACAAGATTTCTAATTAAAAGAAAGCACCTGAGAAAACCCCAAAATAAGAGAAATGTATTTGAATGATTAAGTTGATACTGACATATTAATATGTCAGACAAGCAGACAAAGGTAAGAGATTCTTCAAAAACATCCTAACTTTGGAATGCTTACAAAGAAAGGGTAGAGAGAGGACTGCTGAACAATTCCAAATAAACCATTAAAAATATGAGAACTAGATAAAATACCTTTTAATGTCATAAAAAATTAGAAGTCAGTTCTTTCTACCTACCTCTCTGATAAGTGTTAATCATCATGGTATTTCTGGTTAAACTGCCTACTGTAAGCTTTATGTTTGAAAGTCTGTCACGAACCTATCTCCCTTCCATAGTTTGTTTCCATTCTTAGAGATATGTCTTAGGTTCCAGATTTTAAGTAGTTAACGCAACTGAAATGACTATTGACTTTTAGAGTTCTGACAGCTACCTAAGTGGTGAGATCTAAGAGACCATTAGCTATTTAAATTACTAAAACCTGTTTTTATATTTTCATAACTCAGATATTAAATAGTATTCATAATCTAGTGTTTACAGTATATACAGTACATACTTGCTAAAGTAGGCAGCAAAGAGCCAGGCATGATGGTTCACATCTGTAATTCCAGCACTTTGGGAGGCTGAGGCAGAAGGAACATTTGAGCCTAGGAGTTCAGAGGGTACAGTGAGGCATGATTGCCCCACTGCACGGCCATCTGGGCAATATAGCAAGACCCCATCTAAAAAAATAAAGGCAGCAAGACCACCACGGTCACTGTCATACATCAGTCCATATCTTCCACAGGTAGCAGTGTTTGTGAAGATCATACATAGAAACTAAAGCATACCTCTTGAGTTATTAATAGCTATTATGGAACTCCAGGTCATTAAGATGGTCCTGAATTTAAAGTTTTGCTTCAGTTAAGAACAAAAGCAATTGTGCCTCAAATCCTCAGTTTGTTTGTTTATTTATTTATTTGTTTGTTTGTTCATTTATTTATTTATTTATTTTTGAGAGATGGTCTTGCTCTGTCACCCAGGCCGGAGTGCAGTGGCACAATCTTGGCTCACTACAACGTACTTTGCCTCCCATGTGCAAGCAATTCTCATGCGTCAGCCTCTCAAGTAGCTGGGATTATAAGCATGAGTTACTACGCCTGGCTAGTGTTTTTGTAGTTTTAGTAGAGATGGGGTTTTGCCATGTTGGCCAGGCTGGTCTCAAAGTCCTGGCCTCATGTGATCCGCCCACTTCGGTCTCCTAACGTGCTGAGATTACAGCTATGAGCCACTGTCCTTGGCCTCAAGTCCCAAATTGAAATTCCTCTGCTCTCATGTATTAATAAATAGGGATCTCCCAGTGTCATTGTTTAATGAATGGTAGATTACTAGGCATCCTCTGGAAAAACTCTTGTTATATATTTAAGAACAGAATTTTGGGCTGGGCACGTGGCTCACGCCTGTAATCCCAGCACTTTGGGAGGCTGAGGCGGGCGGATCACGAGGTCAGGAGATCGAGACCATCCTGGCTAACATGGTGAAACCCCATCTCTACTAAAAATACAAAAAATTAGTTGGGCATGGTGGTGGGCACCTGTAGTCTCAGCTACTTGGGAGGCTAAGGCAGGAGAATGGCGTGAACCCAGAAGGCAGAGGTTGCAGTGAGCCAAGATTGCGCCACTGCCCTCCAGCCTGGGCCACAGAGCGAGACTCTATCTCAAAAAAAAAAAAAGAAGGGAATTTTAAAATTTCTTAACCCTGTCTCTTGATTTTAAACATAGGAATAAATATATGCCTGTGGGTTATTATTTGTAAGATATTTTTGAATATGAGGAAAGTTACACATATATCAATTAAGAAACAAATTCCTAAATGGGTCAGAATGAATCAAACAATGTCTAGCTGTACCACTTCCTGTGTTTTGTTAAGTCATGAAAATTACACTTCTGATTCATCTTTATTTAGCATTTCACTATGTGTATATTTGTTCCTAATACTCAGATCACTTGCTACTTGAAATTGAATTTCTGAAGATAATACTGCAATTTAAAAATATATATTTTTTCCTATGTAAAATTAATAGGGAGACTCCATCTCTACAAAAAAAATAAAAATAAGAAGTTAGTGTAGTGGCACATACCCATAGTTCTGGCTACTTCAGAGGCTGTGGTAGGAGGACCACTTGAGCCTGGGTGGTTGAGGCTGCAGTGAGCCATGACCATGCCACTGCACTCTTGATACCCTGTCTCAAAACAAAAACTAGAACAAAACACCTGTAATGTTGCTGCTCAGAAATAACATTTTACGTTTTCTTCTGTTCTTCAGTTTTTCTTTAATGCATATGCAACTGCACTCACTAAATACAGGTTGAGTATCCCTTATCTGAAATACTTGGAACCAGAGTGATTTGGATTTCAAATTTTTTTCAAATTTTGGAATATTTGAGTTGTACTTACCAGTTAACCATCCCAAATCTGAAAATCTGAAATCTGAAATGCCCCAGTGAGCATTTCCTTTGAGCGCTCAAAAAGTTACTGGTTTTGCAGGATTTCAGATTTTCAGATTTGTGATATTCAACCTGTGTAGTTTTAGATATTTGCTTCATCAAAGTATATTGAGATAGGTTTTTTTTTCCTGTAATTAAAGTTATACTGTTGAAACAATAGTCAATAAGAGTTTGTACATGGAAATATCTTCCATAAGTTTTTAGTGATTTTTTAAAAAATGGCTTATATTGGAGGCTGAGTGAGGGTTGAAATGTTAGCTCATTTTGAAACTCTTGAATATGCATTATCTACATGTTCAGCATGTCTTTGAGGAGTGTGTAAATCCACCTGTACCCATCAGGATGCCTGGGTTATGCTCGGGTAAAAATAACATGACTGTAGTGTCTGTGTCTCTCTCTTTCTTTCTCTCTCTCTCTCTCACACACACACACACACACACACACACACACACCCCGCATACACCACATACATTTGAGGCTTCTTTCTGTCTTTTGCTTAAAATATTTTGTAGGCTAGATTTACCTTCTAAAGATGTTGTCTTTTGTGAAACTCTTCATAAGAGGAAGGGGTGTAGGGAATGTCATCTAAAGACTCAGCATTGTAGAGATCCACACTGGTAGTGTGTCATCATGATTTTAATAGCAGGTAATTAATTAAATTGTTAATATTTGAGTATCTGTAAGCGTAAAAATAAAATAGGAAAGCTTGTTTGGGGTACCTCCATCCATGATCACTTTCATTCTCTCTTCTGTGAAACATCCCATCTTTCGACTTTTTGCAGAAGAGTTTCCTTAACTTGTAGTTCAGGTTTTATCATTCGTCTCCCTAATTTCTTTTGTATTTCTTTTCACCCTTTTTTCATTGTTCTTATTTCATCACTTTCTGTGTCTCTTTTTATGTAACTCCTTGTAATTCTGCCTCCTGTAGTGAGGGGCAAAGAAAAAAATAGGAAAATAGTTATTGGTTGAATTATTTGAAACTACAGAAATCAGGTTGAACCTGGTCTGGATTTCCCTAAGTTCAAAAACACAAATTATTTTCCTGTACTCCTTTTAGAATAAAAGAAAAGAAAAAATCTCTAGGCATTTTGTCAACTTCAATGTGTCCTTTATGACTGGTGTATATTTTAAACTTTTTATTATAGAAATTGTCAAACACAGGCGAGGAACAGTGGCTCACACCTATAATCCCAGCACTTTGCAAGGCTGAGGCAGGAGGATTGCTTGAGCTCAGGAGTTCAAGACCAGCCCGGGCAATGACTTAATGAGACTGTCTCTACAAAAAAATAAAACAACTTGCTAGGTGTGGTGGTATGTGCCCTGTGGTCCCAGCTACTCAGGAGGCTGAGGGGAGGATCACTTGAGCCCAGGAGGTCAGCACTGCATTCCAGCCTGGTTGATAGAGCTATAGACTATCTTAAGGGAAAAAAGAAAGAGAGAGGGAGAGGGGGAGGGGGAGGGAAGGGAAGGGGAAAGAGAAGGGAAAGGAAGTGGAGGGAGGGAGGAAGGAAGGAAGGAAGGAAGGAAGGAAGGAAGGAAGGAAGGAAATTGTCAAACACATACAGAAGTAGACATACTACTACCAATTCAGAAAATAATAATATGTTACTATCCAGCTTCAATAATTACTGATACATGGCCATTCCTGTTCATCTCTATCCCTAGCCAGCTCATCATAATTTCAACACAAATTTCAGACATCATATCTTTTCATCTGTAAATATTTTAGTATACATCTCTAAAAGATAAAAATTCTTAAAAACAAAATGTATACACAGTATCATTACCACATCTAAAAATAAATGAACAGTAATGCCTTAATATCAGATATCCAGTTAGGGTTTATGTGACTGGTTGATAAGTCTGTTAAGTGTCATTTAATCACTAGGTTCCCCCTCTGTGTTTCTTTTCTTTCCTTTACACATTTTTTTCGTGTGTGTGTATGAAAAAAAACAAGATCATTTGTTTACATATTTTTCAGTCTGCATTTTACTGACAGCATGCCCCATGCTGTAAAGTGATTAGTACATTCCTCTGTTCTTTGTATTTCCTATCAGTTGGTAGTTAGAGGTATCATTTTGGGGTGGTTTTTTTGTTTGTTTGTTTCTGGTGAGACGGGTTGTTGCTCTGTCACCCAGACTGGAGTGCAATGGTGTGATCACGGCGCACTGCAACCTTGACCTCCCTGGTTCAAGTGATCCTCCCACCTCAGCCTCCTGCATACCCCCAGCTGAATTTTTTTTTTTTTTTTTTGGTAGAGATAGTCTCGCTCTGTGGCCCAGGCTGGAGTGCAATGGCACGATCTTGGCTCACCTCCCACATCAACCTCCCAAAGTGCTGGGATTACAGGCCTCAGTGAGCCATCATGCCCAGCTGAGATACAGTTTTTACATATGTGTGTGTATTTTTGACATCAAACTTATAATGAAAATATAACCCATTTTTGTGACTTAACTGCCCCAAATTTAATTTCCTCAGGGCCAAGTTTTCCTTCTCTGAAGACAAGCATATCTGATAAACAAATGTATTAGAAAAAATATATATATATATTTGAGACGTGGTCTCACTCTGTTGCCCAGGCTGAAGTGCAATGGCATAATCATGGCTCACTGCAGCCTTAACCTTCCAGGCTCAAGCAATCCTCCCACCTCAGCCTTAGAAGTAGCTGGGACCACAGACATGTGCCACCATGACTAGGTATTTTTATTTTATTTTATTTTTGTAGAGATGAGGTCTTACTTATTAGAATATTAGTAAGGGAAAGGTTAGAGCAGAAAGGATATTGAAAGCAAAATTCATCTACTTCCTTAGAAATCTATTGTCAATCCATGTAGAGAAAACACCAAGATCATATCTTCTCCTAAGATAATAAGTGAGTAATATGTATTCGGAACTGTAACACCAGGTTCTAGCCTAAGCACTTGCCATACATAATCTCCTTTAAAACAACAAATCTGTAAGGTAATTGTTAAAATTATCCTCACTTTACAGGCAGGAAAATGAGATGCAGATGTTGAGTATTTTTTTCTAGGTCACACAGATACCAGGTATTTTATTGGGACCAAAAAAGATGACTAGTTTGTGACATTTTATTGGTATAATTTATATTGTACTTTGGATGATCATAAATTCAAAAGTATGTCTTATGATGGATTTTCTTTAAAATCAGATTGTATTTGGCTTTGATGTATGCATAACTAGAAGACTTATAAAATTAGTTCATATAATGTTATTTTTAAAAATTTTAGTTAAAAAAACAGTTTCCTGCTATGGCTCTGAAGATTCCTGCCAAGAGAATATTTGGTGATAATTTTGATCCAGGTAAGAAACAACTTCATAGGCCAGCCATGAAGTGATCGTTGAAATTTGAAGAAGTAAATTAACATATTCATTGCACTGTATAGCAGTGCAGGACTTTAAAAGATCTCATGCCCTATGAAAATAATGCCTCAGGAAGGTGCTTACTGTCTACTAGGCATTGTTTTAAGTACTTCATGTGTTTTAATTTATTCGATCCTCACAATTTTGTGAGTTGGGTGTTATTGTTGTTGTCACTATTTTTATAGATAAGGAAACTAAGACACATTAATTTGCCCAGGACCACATACAGATAGTAAAGGGCAGATTTGGAAGCTAAATTCAAGCAGTCTGACTTCAGATAAATTTGTCTGTCTATGGGCTGGGTGTAGTGGCTCACACCTGTAATCGAAGTACTTTGGGAGTGCGAGGCAGGAGGATCACTTCAGGCCAGGAGTTTCGAGATCAGCTTGGGCAACCTCATCTCTACAAAAATTTAAAGTTTAGCTGGGCATGGTGGCATGAACCTGTAGTCCCAGCTACTCAGGAGGCTGAAGTGAGAGGATTGCTTGAGGTCAGTAGTTCAAGGCTGCAGTGAGCTGTCATTGTGCCATTGCACTCCAGGCTGGGTGACAGAGGGAGACCCTATTAAAATTTTTTTTAATTGATCCTTCAAGTTAATTTGGGAAACTTTACTGACTTTAAATCAGTGTCATGAAGAATATTCACTTTTATATTCAGAAACATTAAATATATACTGTGTACATAGCAACTTGCAGACCTCTGAATGGGATACCAAAAAGATATCCTAGGCCGGGTGCAGTGGCTCACGCCTGTAATCCCAGCACTTTGGGAGGCCAAGGCGGGCGGATCACGAAGTCAGGCGATCAAGACCATCCTGGCTAACATGGTGAAACCCCGTCTCTACTAAAACTACAAAAAATTAGCCAGGCGTGGTGGCATGCGCCTGTAGTCCCAGCTACTTGGGAGGCTGAGGCAGGAGAATCACTTGAACCCAGGAGGCAGAGGTTGCAGCGAGCTGAGATCGGCACCACTGCACTCCAGCCTAGTCAACAGAGCGAGACGTCATCTCAAAAAAAAAGATATCCTATTGCTCACCCGTGGGGAGCCCATTGACACACAGGGTCTCAGCATCTAGCACCTACATGACTAAAGCTGTGGGCATGGAATTTTCCCCTAGAACCCAAGAGATTAATAGAGGTCACAGGTGTCTACTTATAGGGAAACAGAAGTCTTCTTATCCACCAGGAATTCTATCAGAAGAGTCATCTGTCTCTGCCACGGATGAATCCCAAATGGATTGCCCTCCTTCTGCAGCTAATTTGCTTGTAACCAGTTAAATTAATACCTTACATGTCTGTGTAAGAAAAGAAAGTAAGAGAGAGAGATCTTGGTCACTACTCAAGATAAAAGCTCTAAGGTCCCTTATCTTGACTGTGCTTTCTCTCTCCATCCTAACTTCATACCATTCATTTTCCTCCCAGACCATATCACTGTATCCTGTAGAATTCTACCCACCATTAACAGACTGCTCTTTATCCTGCATCTGTTTCACATTTCTTCCACATTCTTCCTTTAATTAAAACTTTTTTTCCCCCAGAGGCTGCTTTGCCTATAGCCCTATAGAATAATAAAGAGGCTTATTATTATTTACACTTTTTATGAAACTCAAGATTGGAGAATGTTCTCACTTCCCTGGTTACATACAGAGTTTTTTTTTTTTTTTCTCTCAGGAGTATATAGCACCTTTCATTGTAATTGCTAATCTGTCTTATAGTAGGCTGTAGATTTTCTGAAGGTGCAGACATGTCTTTTTTTATTGGTTGACAATGGCAATATACTGGTTTTAAAGTATTACTTTATTACTTTAAAACTGGCAAATACTAGGTTTTAAAGTATTACTAAATATATGAACCCATTAATAAAGAGAAGCAAGAGAAAATTGAGTTGGCACAACAAAGCCAGATTATATTCTGTAGACCTGTGGCTTTTGTACTCGTGCTTTGTTTTCAGCAGCAGAACACTTTTTTCCCAATTGAAATCTTATGGAGGCCAGATATGGTGGCTACGCCTGTAATCCCAGCACTTTGGGAGGCCAAGGTGGGCGGATCACTTGAGGCCAGGAGTTCAAGACCAGCGGCAATATGGTGAAACCGCGTCTCTACTAAAAATAGAAAAATTAGCCGGGCATAGTGGTGTGTGTCTGTAGTCTCAGCTACTCGGGAGGCTGGGGCAGGATAATCACTTGAATCCAGGAGTCGGAGGTTGCAAGTGAGCCAAGATCACGCCATTGCACTCCAGCCTGGGCAACAGAGTGAGATTCTGTCCCCCAAAAAAACACACACACACACACACACGAAATCTTATGGAAATGTAATATGTGAAAAAAAATTTAAATAGACCTGTTTTGTTGGTATAACAGTGAGGTATCTCCTTGGAACACAGTTTGAAAAGCATCTTCGTGGGTAGCGTGTTGACCTTAGTGGCATTTGATCAAGATGTGAAACTGACAGTGGGTAATTTATGGTGGGCACAGCAGAGTAGAGACTGGGAGACTGGTTAAGGTAATAGTCCAGTAGCCCTGGCATTAGATAATGAGTATGGGGACTAGGGTAGAAATAGGGTTTAAAAATGAGCAATGTACAAGAACTCCTTTAATGAAAAATCTGGAATACATCTTGATGATTGCTTAGGTAACAGACATATAGAGAAGAGAATGAGAGATAATTGGAGGGTCTGGCCTGGGTGACTGAGAGAATTAACTAATTAGAAGTGGCAGAAAAATATTAAGAAATCAAACTACTAGTGATAATATGAAACTGGAACTTGGGTTGGAGTTCTGTAGAGCCCTTAACTAATTACTTAAGACAATTATTTAATCAAGGAAAGAAAGCAAAGAAGTCATTGTTAAAAGCAAGATACCAAGCTGCATGCTTTTTGGTACTTTGTTTTGATGAATTAATTGACACTAAAAACTGATTTTTTTGAAGAACTGTTTGTCTATCCCGCGTATATCAAATATGCGTAATATTACATTTCCATAAGACTTCTGTTCACTGCATACAGTGAAAGGGATCATATATCACAGAGATACTAGAAAGTCCTGCATTGGGGAAATCAGATCCAAGTCAAATTCAGAAAAACAGAGATTGATAAGATGCTCATTTGGTTACACTTTGGGGATACAGGCATTCCCATGTTTTTCTGGTGGAATAAAAAGTGGTACAATCCATGTTGAGGGGAATTTGGTAATGTTTAGAAAACCTGTGAATGCATTTTCCACTTTGGCCAAGAAATCACATTTCTAGGAATCTGTCCATAAAATAAACTGCATATGATATGTACACACAAGACTGTGTATTGTGACACAATTATTAACAGGAAAACGGGAAACAATGGAAATACTTTTCCGATGGAGCTGGATATAACATACTTGTAAAAAGGAACAAAAAAGCTCTTTATGTATTTTGCTATGGTGTGATCTCCAGAATATACCATTAAATGGGAAAAAAAATCACAGTATAGCAAATGAATTTGTATGGTGTGTATTTTTTGTGTAGGAAAAGGTATGGGGATTCAAAAAGAAATAATGGAAGAATAAATGAAAAACTAATAAAACTAGTGACTTTAAGGGTGAAGGAGAGATCAGGAAAGGCAAAAGGGGTGGAAGTTAGATGCCCTTGAATGAATTTTGTTTTGTACCTTTGACTTTGGAACCATGTACACATTTTAAACAATTTAAAAACAAAAATAAAAATGCAATAACAAAGCAGCCTCTAACAACTGAAAATAAACTGAAGGAAAAAACCTAACTTAATTTAAATAACTTTAAAACATGGGATTTTGACTGTATATTCTTCATGGGATATATTGCTAAGGATAAAAACAAAAACCCATGGACAAATTTTACACTGCATTCAGTAGTGTTAATGTTAGTTATATGGAGTTGTTACTCTGTCATTAATGTTACTATCATGGAAACCAAGATTTTAAACAGGAGAGGAAAGTGATACAAACAAAATCAAAGATTTTAAGTAAAAATCCTGTAATTTTCTTTTCTTTTTTTTTTTTTTTAGACAGAGTCTTGCTCTGTCGCCCGGGCTGGAGTGCAGTGGCCGGATCTCAGCTCACTGCAAGCTCCGCCTCCTGGGTTTACGCCATTCTCCTGCCTCAGCCTCCCGAATAGCTGGGACTACAGGCGCCCGCCACCTCCCCCGGCTAGTTTTTTGTATTTTTTTAGTAGCTACGGGGTTTCACCGTGTTAGCCAGGATGGTCTCGATCTCCTGACCTCGTGATCCGCCCGCCTCGGCCTCCCAGAGTGCTGGGATTACAGGCTTGAGCCACCGCGCCCGGCCAATTTTCTTTTTTTTTTTTTTTTTGAGATAGAGTTTCATTCTTGTTGCCCAGGCTGCAGTGCAGTGGTGTGGTCTTGGCTCACCGCAACCTCCACCTCCTGAGTTCAGATGATTCTCCTGCCTCAGCCTCCCAAGTAGCTGGGATTACAGGCATGCACCACCACGCCTGGTTAATTTTGTATTTTTAGTAGAGCTGGAGTTTCTCCATGTTGGTCAGGCTGGTCTCGAACTCCCAACCTCAGGTGATCTGCCTGCCTTGGCCTCCCAAAGTGCTACGATTACAGGCGTGAGCCACCACACCCAGCAGAATCCTGTAATTTGTAACTTAATTTGGAGATATAGTTTGAAATATTTATTTATTTTATTTATTTATTTTTTGAGACAGAGTTTCGCCCTTGTTGCCCAGGCTGGAGTGCAATGGCGTGATCTCAGCTCACCACAACCTCCACCTCATAGGTTCAAGCGATTCTCCTGTCTCAACCTCCCAAGTAGCTGGGATTACAGGCATGAGCCACTGCACCTGACCCATAATTTATTTTTTTAGCTTTGTAAAAATATTTTCTAGCACTCTCTTTTGGAAATGCCTAAAAGCAATAACAAGTAGTAACCAACACCCCTAGCATTCAGATTGTGATCTCTAAGTACCATTTCCCTCTCAAAGGAACCAGAGTTCCATGGATAAATGGTGATCCCAGATCTGGCACAGGAAATGTACACGGTGATCTCAGGACAGCTTGCCTGAAAGCAAGGAAGCTATTTAGGATGACTGGAGTTTTATCAAAAGAACACAGGAGCCTAGCTGTTGGGGCTTTTACTGAGCAAAGATTAGACGGCATGGAGAAAGTAATTATCGTAGCAGGTTAGAGCACATCAGTATAAAGACTTTCCAATTTACTTTGCTTGTTTAGGGGAAAAAAAAAAACCTCATGAAATGCTGTAGAGGTTACTAGAGTAAATTTATTTGCCAAATCAATAAATTAAAAAATCAAGGATTTATCTTGCCTTTGTTGTATGAAATGTAATTTCTTTGTACTAAAGAGATAATGTTGGAAAATACTTGGTAGTGGAATCACAGTTCATAAATAGAAGAATCACAGAATGATAGAACTGGAAAATCCTTATACAACTTCTGATGAATTAATAGTTCTAGGCAAAGACCATCAGTGATTTGAAGACTTTACTGGGGCAGAAGGATCTGCTTCTAAGATGGCTCACTCATATAGTTTCTGGTAGAAAGCCTTGGTTCCTTGTGAGTGGGCCTCTTCTTAAGGGGCCTTGAGTGTCCTTACAACATGGCAACTGGCTTCCCCAGAGTGAGTGATCCAAGAGAGCTAGCAAGGAGGAAGCCTCGTTGCCTTCTCTGACTTAGTCTTAGAAGGCACATGCCATCACATCCACCATATTCCTCTCATTAGAAGGTAGTCGTTAAGTCCAACCCCCATTCAAGAGAGAAGAATTAGTTCTACCTGTTTATTGGAGGGAAATAAAAGAATTTATAGACATTATGAGAGAGTGATTTCATGGCTTTACTATTTTTTTTAAAGATATTACCATTTAGAAGTACTGATTTATTCCCCCCTCCACCAAAACAAAACAAAACAAAAAACTGCCTGAGAATTGCTTTAAAATACTCCAGAAAAAAAATAAAAAGTGAGGAATGAGGATAAATGAATGAAATTGGAATAGCAGAATGTTGATAAATTTTAAAGTAGGCAAATAAGGTTCTCATCTTTTGTGTACTTGTGAAATTTTTCATAATAAAAAGTTAAAAATAAAGTTGGCTGGGCACAGTGGCTCACACCTGTAATCCCAGCACTTTGGGAGGCCGAGGTGGGTGGATCACCTGAGGTCAGGAGTTCTAGACCAGCCTGGCCAACATGGTGAAACCTCATCTCTACTGAAAATACAAAAATTAGCCGGGCGTGGTGGCACGTGCCTGTAATCCCAGCTACTCTGGAGGCTGAGTCAGGAGAATTGCTTGAACCTGGGAGGCGGAGGTTGCCGTAAGCCGGAATCACGCCATTGCACTCTAGCCTGGGCAACAAGAGCAAAACTCCGTTTCAACAACAAAAATAAATAAATAAATAAAATAATACCTAAGAAAAACATTCTGAAATTCCCTTTTTAACTTATCTCATGGTTGGTAGCCATTTTATGGGATTTTTGCTTATCTTTTTGAGTTCTTATCCTGCAGCTTAAGCCTATGTCTTCTTTTTCTTTTTTCTACTTCTTTATTCTAGTGTTTGTCAACCTCTATAAGATACATCTTACATACTTGAAGGCTGATTTTAAGAATGATCTCTGCCTGTACTTTTTGTTAGCATTTTATTATGAATTTAAAGATTTTTTAATAGGATACACCCAGAGGAAACCATATAAGATATATTGAAGAAACCAATATATCTTCAGTAAGCATCCACAGAACAATTTAAAGCTGCTTCCATATAGTTATTAGGTTTTCTCTGAATATCCTAAATGTAGTCATTCATTTTAGTTCTTCATGTGTTACTAAGTTCAGTTCTCAAGAAATATCTGTGTTTCAATTATAGTTTTTAATGTAAACCTCACATATGCTTTGCTACCTGGTAACATTATGAATGTCCTTGAAAGAGTTTAATAAGATACCTACCTGAAATTCTTCAAGGAATTCTTAGACGAATAAGAAAAAAGTACCAAGTACATGCATCTGGCTCCCAAAGACCAGACCTGATTTTATATTTGTTTATATTTGTATGAAGCCATACCTTCCATTTAAGAAATGGAAATAAACCTGAAAATGACCCATCATTTTGGTGACAAACACTATACATTTTACCTTTATTCAGTAGAAATCAGTTTACTAAACCAAAACTCATTATCAAGTGGAATTTTTTTATGGGTTTTTATCCAGAGATTCGCCATTTAGGAGACAGTTTCTCAAATGACATGGGTTTAATTTTTAGAGCATATTTCTTCAGAATTGGCTGGGTGCTGTGGCTCATTATCAACAAACAAAACACTTCAAAAATACGGACAGGCTGGCCCACCAACTGGTTCATGCCTGGTATCCCAGCGCACTTTGGGAGGCCTGAGGATG